CCTTAATGCTCATAATTTAGATTGTTTTCATATTGTTTTAGTCAAAGGAAATCCTACAAACGCTTCTGTCTGTCGAAAACCATGCCCAAATTTTACTTAAATAACCTTCTGAGAGTCAGTGCTTTCTGAGTCACTGAGTTATGCATCACCGAGTTCCATACTCAAAGAGACTGCCAATGAACTGATAAGCTAGCCTCTGTTTTTCCTCATTGACTGCTTTCTTCATGGATGTTTCTTCAGAACTATACAGCAACAAAAAGGTTCTAAACTTTTCAGATACGTATTGTTTATGTTTGCTGGCAGTTACATAATATGGGTGAATGAATTAATTCAACTACATATTACTGCTTGAACTGTTCTTACAGTGATAAATAATTGGTGTCCTCTGACCTACAAATCTTCCCTACTGTTCCTACAGTCCACTTCTTAATCTTATGCTCTCTTTACAAATTAATTAACCGTTTTAGTCGATTAAGTACAGAAGGGGTTTAAGAGTGACCAAACTATTATACGGCACCAATTCATGACAACGCTAACTTTTAGTCCATGTCAAATGCTCACATGATTGCCGCTTGGCTGCAGTTTCTCAGACGCTAAGAAAAAAACACTTAAATACTGCCAGTAATCTGGCTCAAAATTAGTCCCAACGATGATGATTTATTCACTGCAAATCATCACTGGAGCCTTTGTCATCTTATTGGTTCCAGTTTCTTTATCGTTTTTCTTTGGTGATTTTGTCTGTTTCAATATCATTCTTCCCCTAGCTACATATTCACTATCTTAGCCCAAAAGTAGTGCATTTGTGTGCTAGTTTTAAGTAGGTGTATTTATTCATCTACATTTACTTATGAATATAACTATAAGCACAGTAAACACTAATTTACTTGCAGATTGGTATATATGGAATGTAAATCTATAGCTTGTAGCGCTACTGACATTAAGACACCAGTTGGCAACAATTCAGTTTTTGCTATTTCGTCAATAGTGCCTTGCCTCATATTTTCATTCTTTTGAAAAAAATGAATAATTTAATATAGGCAATATGCTAGGAAATTCTTCATGACTTATACAAAGTGAATGACTTATCTCATTTACAAATGGACATAACGATTGAAATAGCTTAAAAAGTGTATACTGCTTACATAAACAGCTCTATAATTATAGTTATTACATCAGGAATAATTTCAGACTAATACATTAGTTGGATATATTCATATACAGAAATTTATCTTATGATTCTAAGAAAAATATTTTCGTCATTTTGGATAAAAATAAACGTATGTAAATGTCTTCTACAAAATAACCTAATAATACTGAATACTTGTTAGTCAAAAAGATTTTTTTATTACTTTTCATGTTTAGCCTTTAATAAAACTGCTTTGTGTAAATTTCCAATGTAGCAGTATCATCATGAATATTTAATCCAGTTTCTGCTTATATTCTCATATTTGAACTGAATTGTACAATAATTGATCAGGATTTTATTCAAAGCATTATTTATGTTGAATACATTATTTTCTACATATTCGGAAATGAATTTCAAATGATGTTGGTTTGGTATTCTTCAATTTCTATAAACTGATATATAAGTCTTGAGAACACCATACAATCATTATTTTAGCATGTATATGCCTTGGTAATATGCTTTCAAATTGGATACAAAATGAAGATACATCTACTTCTGGTGTTTTCGAAATTTTGAATATTTTACTGATCTTCATCTTTCCTTTCAGACAGTTTATTCGTTGCAATATTTTTTCTTCTTCTTGCTCTTTTTTCCCTAACATAATATTATGAAGCAAGCCGACAAGAACTGACGTAGTCCTAAGAGTCCAGTGTTGATGTGCCTATTGGTTCCCCTCTTAAAAAATCAGATGTAGTATTAATTGTAGTAGACCATTTATTTATCCAACTTTTATTATATGAGAAGCGGAAATATTTCAAACAATCTCTTCATGAGAGTATACTTTTTGGATCTCATAAATAGAGTTCATATTGGAAATAACTTAATCATTTACTATGGATTGTGTTTTATTCTGTTGCACTCTCTATTCTTGTCTTGATCCATTTCTGAACCTTCAGATTGTTTAAATGAACCATTTAGGCAAAAACTATTATCCCATTTAGTATTTTCCTAAATGAATTATTAATTCAAGATGTATAGTACCTACTGCATGAATTTAATCAAATTCTGGTGAATCTTTCTTTTTCCACTGAAATTTGAACCCACTGCTTCGTACTCTATGTGTTACAGCCTTGTTTCTTGGTCGAATGAGTTATGGTAACTATCTCCCGTTCTAAGACTATTCCGAATTATCAGTAAAGCTCATTTTTCACAACAGGTCAACGACCTTATCTCTATTGTAATAACCGAATAATCCAGAAAAATCACCTATTTGTGAGTCAAAGACCATATCTATTGAATTATCAGTAACTTCATGAGGATATCTATTCTTGTTATCACTTCTATTCTCAACATATATAACTTTCAAATAACTACACAGCTTTGTAATACATAATCATGGTATTTAATTTTTATTATACAGTTATGTGTGTGGTAAGATAACATCAACAGTACTGCCGATAAGTGTACATGACAAGAGGTTTCAAACCATTAATAGTGATTGATACACTTTATTCAGTGAATGACACTCATGACATAGTTGCCCAGTGGATGCTTCTAGTCGTTCATATGCTAGTCCAAGACTAGATTGTTAGCGCAAACACTACCAGCCACTGAAATGCAAAGGTGTCTAGCTATTTTTAAATGAAAAAATATGCGCATCTTGCTATCCTCTGCTATTGACCATCACTTATAAATTATAATACTGTATTTTTACAGGTGACTAAACACTTCAAAATGTACTCAAAATTTAGCTTTAAACTGAGTGGATAACTCAAAATATTTGAGGAAAACTACAGTTGATCGAACATTTACCAGTCCTGAAGAACAATCTGTGCGTAAATTTAACCAGATAATAAACCTTTTCAGATGCACCTACGATTTGCATTGTGGGTAATGATGCTAAAAAAAGTAAATAATTTCTGTGAAATGGTTAAACCTGAAGATTCCGTACTATACTAGTAATTTACACTACTAACCCAGTTATAATTGTCACTGTAAATAAAATACTCAGTTTCATACGTCTTATGCCCTGAGAACATCTTGCTAAAACGCTAAAAGAAACGTCATCAATAAATAAGAAAGTATTTATGAAAATTTAGCCCACTGATGAAACTTTATATCCTGCTACTCATTTAACAGATTTTTAGAGTTGAGCAACTATTTTCATCATATAGAATACTAGCGGAATGAATGGCAAACTTAATAAACAAGCAGTGCAAACACTGTAAATAGTTGAGAAGAATTAGGTTGTACGTGAGTAAGCGTTAACATGCTGTGCATGTCTGTTACCCTTTCCATTTTGTCGTTTTTTCGTGTGATCTCCGTCTGTTTTTTTATACAGAATTGGAATTATTCAGTTTCGTAACATAAGCTGTCTAAAATTCATTACATATTAAGAGTTTTGGTTATCTAAAGTGAAATTCCTCTGAAAAAGATGCCCAACCGACATAAACAAACACCAATCACCATCAAAAAGAGAAATCTATAGGAAGTAGTCTCTTTCACCTACCTTCCTAGGCAAGGCTGCATCTTTTCTACTACAGGCGGTACACGCACACATGAAGAAGTCAAAGCCAGTGAGGATTGGAAAGACAGCAAGACAAGCTTTCATTAATCTGAAATCAGTGTGGAGATCTACTGCACAGCACAGCACTCAGCATACAGCGTGAACAAGATCCGGATTTTCAACACCAATGTCAATGTAATGCTTCTGTGTGATGGTTGGGAGACTTGGCGGCGCGTTATGAAAAGCATTTGCAACAAACTACAGACATTCGTCAACAGCTCACGCCTACGCCGGTTCGATACTGACACTGAAGATCAGATGGCCAGGATACTAAGAATAAGCAAGGAGGAACTCTGGTCTGAGAACGAACCAACGAAGCAATAACCTATCACCCAACAAATATGCAGAAGAAGAGAGTGGAGATGGACTGGGCATACACTGAGAAGACGGTTTGGGGACATCACGTGCCAGACCAGGTGGTTGATTGGAATCCAAAGAGGAGTTGGGACGAGTTGGGCGTCCGAGTTGAGGGTGATGTGTAGGAGATCATGTGAGGAAGAGATGAAAGCTTGTGTGTAGTTGTAGTGCCAGGTTGAAAAGACTGCAGAGAAGAGAGTGAAATGGAGACGTGCTGCTGAAGCCTTATGTTCCACTAGGAACCCAAGGGACTAATAATAATAATAATAATTATAAAAGTGGAATTGTTCAACTTTCAGATAATTACCTTTCTTACTCCTCACAATGAAATAGTGAGATATAATGTTGTATCAGTCAGTTTGGTGAGCGTATTATAGACTTCTTCTTCATCAGTCAAACAGCAAACAGGATCTGACATTCACGTCTGTATTATTTCCTTTATCAATTTGGAGATATGTCTCAAACTGTTGAAATTAGTTCTGGTTGAATAAGCTGAGTATTTAAGTCGTTTGTTCAGCATTAAATGACATAAACCTGAATCCTGGAAGCAATAATAAACTTCATCTGTTCTGCAGATACGGTGTGCTGATGAACACCAAAGAGTGTAAAGCTTAGATCAGGCAAGTCTTCTTGCTAAATAAATCTTCTAAACTAAAGTAAGAACTTATCTTCATATGTACATAAAATGAACAAAGTTTTCAGAAGACATTGACTATGTAAGTATCTGAACCCATATAATTCAAGTTACTACTATTCATTTCCTTTGTTTATGTTATAAGACATAGCTCATACCCATTATAATCACATAAAAATATTAGTGGTGTTGTCATCCTTTAATATTTCCTGGAAAGCCAAATGAGCATGGATGAACTGCTTCATTTCGAAACATTTCTCTAGAAAACTTAAATCACTCACCTTATTCTAATATCTTTCTTGAAATTTTGATTTCAGTTATGTGTTCCCTCCAATCAATCAACTGCCTGATGCCTTTCGTGATGTATTGGAACATCTGAAGTATGTTGCATAATTTCAGTATTATTGTGTTAACTGATAAGTATATATTCTAAAGTGGCTTTTATCAGTGATCAGTAGCTGGTATATACATATGCAATAAACTCTACGGTTCGATCCCCTAATTTACATCAAATTCGACTGTAAAATATTTTGTTTTGCCCACGACTGATGGAGAGCAGTTATAAATTGAGATATGATAGTTCTAACGAAAGTATTTTCAGGCCAATGTATTGTGAGATGTAGCCTTAGTTGACACTATAGTCATCATTCTCATAGCAATTCCAAAAACAGTGAAAATTGTCACATTCTCATGACAATTACTACCAAACTATCCCATTTAATTTTTCACCAGTTATTCAGAGTCTGCCATAGGTTTACAAACCTTGAAATTGAACTTTAACCACAGTTGCAGTTCAACACCCAGAACAGAAACTTAACTGAAGGACGAAACCACAAAGGACATCTTCACGTCAGTCAGCCATTGGGATGAAATGGGAGATATTGAGCAACATCGGTGAAGAAAGCTGCGTGGAATAACACTGGAACTCTTTGAGAGAGAAGTGCACAACCGCGTTACGGGGAGGGGGGGAATAAGAAAGAAGACAAGGACTAGATCTTGATGGACACATGTAAGCTGATAGAGGTGGGAGAGGGAGATGGTGAAGCAGATGAACCAGCGCAGTGCAGTGCAGTGTAGGGATGAACAAGGAAAAAAAGAACTCCATATTAGATTCGTTTATATGATTTATAACATAAAGTGATCTAGTACTATTTACTTGATGGCGTTTCGAGCATAAATCATCGCTCATAATCATGTCAATATAATCACACTAATTTCGGCATTTGATTTTATAGTTATGTCATTTTATATGAGTTGTTTTTATTGATAGCAAAATTTTCCATATCTCTGGTACAGGTGTTGCGTCATTTCTATTACATGATGAGGAGGGTACCTCAGAAACTTTACTTAGAATCCTCAACAAAGCTGGGATTAGGGTGGCATTTAAACCTACCAACTAACTCAGAGTTAAAATTTGTGGGCTTAAGGATCCGATAGAACCAATTACGCAAAATAATATAATCTATCAAATCCCATGTAACGACTGTGAGTCGGGTCAAGTATATAGGTGGAACTAGTCGGTTGGGGTCAGTTAGAATAGCCAAACATAGGAATTTAGCTAAACATAGAATAACAGACCTAAATAGGATCAATAATCTGGAAAAAAAAACTTGGCTATTGCTGTGCATGCATTAACACATAACCACACAATACAGTGGGATAAAGCCACCCTATTTAAGTCAAATATAATTAGGTGGAGAGAGGTTGATTACTGAATCTTTATTCGTCTGATCAACACTCAACACATGTAGTAGAAATGACGCAACACCTATACCAGAGATATGGAAAATTTTGCTACCAATAAAAACAACTCATATAAAATGACATAACTATAAAATCAAATGTCGAAAGTAGTGTGACTATATTCATATGATTATGAGCGATAATTTATGCTCGAAACGTCATCAAGTAAAAAGTGGTAGGTCACTTTGTGTTATAAATCATATAAACAAATTAAATATGGAATTAAATTCTACCACAATACCCAAGTCTTACACCTATTATTAATGAAAAGAACTGAAAACAACCTATAAAACAATACATTTGACAAAGAAGTAAAGAGGAGGGCAGGAAAAGACGGAAGAAACTTCTACGATACACTGGCAAGTAAGGTGGAACACGGTACAAATAGTAGAGACAGAGACCTGACAACGCTACACCCGACTGCTAAAGAAACGTCAAAGCACAAAGAAAACATAAAAAACAAAAAATTATTCCTCTCGGGAACGACGCCAGTTGCTGAAGTCCTTCGGGAAGCTTCTTGACCAACATGTCTTCTCTCGGTGAAAGCAAAAGTAAGGATGGGGAGATGAAATATCCACAATATGTATGGTCCCGGCAAGGCTGTACAGATTGCAAAAGAGATGAAAAGGTAAAGCATGGAAGTGCTAGGAATCTGCGAACATTATGCAGATGGAACAGAAGTGGACTATCCAAACTGTCAACTGAACAGTCAATAATCTAATCCGATATTGTCACCCAGATGACAACCACGAGCACACTGAGTTTTCGAGTGGCTATCATGATATCCCCAAGAACATCAAAAGCTCTCATGCAGTGGGAACCAATCTCATACAGCATCTGGATCACGACAGCAAGATTCAAGTGAAAAGGAAGGAGAGTCACAATCATACAATGCTATGCTAAGCACCTTCAAATAATACAGATGAAGAGGAGAGGGGGGAATTCTACAGATAACTGCAATCACTCAGTACTGGACAACACCCCCACTCCAGTTGGCGACATCGAAATTCATTCCAATGGGTGACATGAATGCCAAACTGGGGGTGGACAACATACGAGGAAAACTGACCACGGGTCGAGAAGCACTCGGTGAAATGAATGAGAATGGAGAAGTGTTTACAGACTTCAGGGCATTCAATGATTTGGTGATCGGAGGCAGTGTGTACAAACACAAGGATATTATTCACAAGACAGCGACATGGATTTGGTTTCACCAGACACCAGGACACACAACACTAAAAGTCAGGTCGATTTCATCTCAGTGTGAGGAAATTGGAGGTGGAGACGCAGCCTACTGGACACAAGATCAGATGGAGAAGGGGAGCAGATGTAGGTTCATACCACTCACTATCTAGTGCAAGGAATTTACCCTCACAGTCAAGTTGAAAGCCTTCAAATTAGTTGGTGATGATAGACCACAGTTCAAGTTGAACACCCAGAACAGAAACTGAACTGAAGGACGAAACTACAAAGGACATCTTCACGTCAGTCAGCCATTGGGATGAAATGGGAGATATTGAGCAACATCGGTGAAGAAAGCTGCGTGGAATAACACTGGAACTCTTTGAGAGAGAAGTGCACAACCGTGTTAGGGAGAAGGGAGGGGGGAATAAGAAAGAAGACAAGGACTAGATTTTGATGGACACATGTAAGCTGATAGAGGCGGGAGAGGGAGATGGTGACGGTGAAGCAGAAGACGAACCAGTGCGAGGATGCAAAACAAAAGAGGAACTGAGTGCAACCTATGAAACACTACACTGGACAAAGAAGTGAAGAGGAGTGCTTGGAAAGACAGAAGACACTTCTACGACACATTGGCAAGTGAAGCGGAACAGGATGCAGGTAGGAGAGACAGAGACCTGACAGCATTATATAATATGACCAGGTTGCTATCTCGGAGGGAAGAGATCAAGGTGAACGAAACCAATCAGAGATAGTGATTGGGAAATTTAGTTGACAGGGAGAAGAAACAATGGAAACAATGGACTGACCACTTCAACAAACTCTTGAATCGACCAGCACTATCACAATCACCCCCTGCAACTCGTCCAGAATTACCACCAGTAGCCGAGCCATACAACTGTCAGTGAACACCAACACTCCGACAAAGCAGAAGTGATGTTCTGGACGCCCTAAATTGAGTGAAATCCGTGAAAGCATCGGGATCAGATATAATTCCTCCAGAAGTACTGAAAACAGATGCAGAGACAACAGTGGACATGCTCACACGACTACTGCAGAAGGTTTGAATGAATGAAGCAAGGAAGGAAGAGAAGATACTTGTCGAGTGGAAGAATGTCTACCTTGTCGAACTCCGAAGTAAGTTTGAACTAAATCTTTGAAAGAACTAGCACACTATCATGCTCCACACCTGTACATCCCAAGGGAATTGAAGTCGACTGGATTATGTAGCAGACAACTGTGAGTAGCCAGAACATGGACACACGCCAGATAGACCGATGAAGAGATCATAGAAGATTTGGATTTCGACGCCGACGATGATGATCAATGTCCAATATCTTGTCGCACAACCTCGAAAATCTACAAGCAAAAACTGACAAGTTTGCAGAAGATGCGAGGCAGTGAAGGAAGATGGGGCTTCCTTCAGGTGAACGTAGAGACGACGGAGTTGATGAAGATGCCCAACCGACAAGAACAACTACAAACACCAATCACCATCAAAGGGAGAAATCTATAGGAAGTAGTCTCTTTTATCTACCTTCCTAGGCAAGGCTGCATCTTTTCTACTACAGACGGTACACGCACACATGAGGAAGTCAAAGCCAGTGAGGATTGGAAAGACAGCAAGTTAAGCTTTCATTAATCTGAAATCAGTGTGGAGATCTACTGCACTGCACAGCACTGCACTACACTACACTGCACTACACTCAGCATACAGCGTGAACAAGATCCGGATTTTCAACACCAATGTCAATGTAATGCTTCTGTGTGATGGTTGGGAGACTTGGCGGCGTGTTATGAAAAGCATTTGCAACAAACTACAGACATTCGTCAACAGCTAACGCCTACGCCGGTTCGATACTGACACTGAAGATCAGATGGTCAGGATACTAAGAATAAGCAAGGAGGAACTCTGGTCTGAGAACGAACCAACGAAGCAAAAACCTACCTGAAGCCTTATGTTCCACTGGGAACTCAGGGGGAAAATAGTAATAATTTTAGAGTGTATCTGAAATCTCAGGCGAAGTGACGTCCTGTTTGAGATTTGAACATGCATCACCTTGTGTTGCAGTTAGGTACGTTACCACTGATCTATTCTGGTCGCGATATACCTTCTGGAAGAGTGTATAAGTTACACTGACTTGTCACTGGAGAGCAACCAGTTTTATTTCAGTTATTCCCAAGTGCTGACCAAATTCTAGCAATCATTTTGCTGCATTAGGATATCACTTCACTCGATGCCTCAGTTGTGCCTTCCTGATGAATATCGATGGGCTTGAAACCTAGGTCTAGAACTTCTTAGTGATTGCCTGCAACCCACCAACATCCACTTATGTGCACTTCGACTCCTATCCTTGTAACTATACAGCAAAATTTTATAATAAGATATATGTTCTCCATTTCTTAAAATTCTCCTGAAACAAGTAAGTTGATGTATGATACTGACAGTTTATTT